CTCTCTCTCTCTCTCTCACACACACACACACACACACACACACTCACACACACACACACACCACTTGAGGGTAGGGACTGTTTCATTTTTGTCTTTGTATCCCCATAGCCTCACACAATTCCTGACACATAGCAGGCATTTAATAAATACTTGCTGATTTATTGATTGGATTGCCTTTGGGAAGTTGAGCTGTGTTTTCAACAACTCCAAGCATTTCTCTGAAGCAAATATCCATGTTATTAAATGTCTTCAAAATTCTTCTAGTGGTGCTATATGGCTGTCAGTCACAGACTACTACAGCTTCAGGAGAATTAAAATTGCACCTGAAGGGCAATGGTGAGGCACATAACTGGAGTGAAGACACCACAAAATATTTTCAATGAAGAGGTACACAGAAGAGGAGGTCATCAGAAATTTATTCCTGGAAAAGGAGTGGGGCTGGTCATGTAGCATGAATGAGAGCAAACCAATTGCCAGCTCTTGTGTTCACTGGTGCCTTTCTAGAGGAGCTCTCTTCGCCCCCCCCCAACCCCTCCAACATACTGAGGTTATCCTTCGTGGAAAAAGATTTATGAAGGATATGGACAAGAGTTACACAGGATAAGGTATGGTTGGGTTGTGATCTGTACCTTTGGAAAGAGTTCCCAAATCAATGAGATCACTGATCTAGTGGACCTCCTAGAAACTAATAATCCCCAGGTAGGGCAAGAAAGGAAGACACTCAAACTATGTTTTTACATTTTCCAATATAATGGAGTCCCCTGACAATCCAGTTCAGAATACTTCCTGATATCTATGCACTGGGTAGATAGGTAGGAAAATTTTCTCATTTCTCTTATGCCCTCACTTTCTAGGGCTGATTCTCAAATGACAACTTCTAAATGGTCTATACAGGCCAGACTTATATAGTCACCTCCATACTATGTAATGAGACATCAGGGTAGGAAGAAGAGAATACACAAAAACTGGAATACCATAGAGATTTCCTCCTCTGCACACCTTTACCTTCTCAGCATTGGGGAATCTCTTTTTGAGGAACTGGGGCAAAGTAAGAAATTGAATTCAATTCAACAAACACTTATTAAGTACTTATTATGTGAGAAGAACTAGATATCTAAAGAATTTGATGTGTATATGGGAGAGGGCTCAGTAACGATAATTTCTTTTCCCTTTTCTCAGCCTCCTCTTCTAGCTAAACTATTTGAAATCCATTCCCCAGATTTCATATTCTTCAGCCCTTCTTCCATGTCTCTTCCTTCCCCACCTCTACTTCTCACAGGTCTCTGGTACAGATCCCAATCAAAATAATAAGCAGTGCCAAACAGGGTTGGTGAAAGGTGGAGAAGAGAAAGGGAAAGAGAACAATTGTCCAAAAGAGGGAACTAAATAAAGGTGCTTGTTCTAACTAGAGGAGACCAACAATCCATTTAACTCAGGCCCTCTTCCATCTCTTGCCTCTGTGCCTCTAAAATTAAAAGAACTAAGACTCACCTGCAACAAGCCCAAGGCAGGACGCTGGCATCTTTCCTCCAGCTCTGCGATCAGCTCTTCCAAGGAACGGCTCTGCTGAATCAGCTTAGCCGTGTTCTCCCTGAGCCTAGGCAGAGTCTCACTTTCTTCCTCCTCCAGCTTCTGCAGGAGCCTCTGCTCTTCCTCAGCCAGGAACTGTCGAAGCTTCTCAAACTCGGCGGTAACATTCTGTTTCTGGCTCTCCACCATTTTCTGTAGATCAAGAAGGGGAGAAGAAAGGTCTGACCTAAGTCACCTCTTCCCCTGTTTATTCTCACTTGGTTACATTTGTTCTTCCTACTAAAGCTAGTGCCTCAAAGGCACATACTCCAGGGCTTGTGCCTGGGGGTTCCCCGCCAGCCTGGCTACTCTCATCATCTCTCATTCCCCCTTCCCCTCCAGTCACTCACAACAAGGTAATAGGAAAGATCCCATTGCAGATCCAGTCACTTGCCTGCCAAATAATACAGGTCTCCTCTCCCTGGGTCTGAAACTGCAGGGCTTCTTCCATTTGCTTCCTCAGGTGCTCCAGCGATTTCTCCAGCTTTCCCTAGAGGAGAGATGAGACTGACTAACCCCTCAGCAGTACAGGAGCACCCAATCCTTCCCCATTTCGTAGGGAAAACTTATTCAGTTTTTTATTTCTTCTATAATCTCTATACAGATCACCCATCACCCTGTAGTTTAAGGTCCAATTTCTTAACCCCAAGGTCTAGTCTGGTATCTGTTTACTGGACTTATATTTCTATTATTTCTATGTTCCATGCACAATGACCCCTCTGTTTCATGCCAGGATGTACTCCCTCTACACACAAAATTCTTCTCTTCAAGACACAGCTCAAGCAACACCTTCTACATAGTACTTTTTCACTGATATCCCAATGTTAATATTCTCCCTAACTATTTTTTATTTCTTTTGTATTCAACGTATTAATCTCCTTCCTTTAACTCTTTCATCTCTGGAACTTCGCCCTTGGGGTCCTGTTATGCTGATTGGGGACTACCTCACTTAGCCCATGATTTCAGATAGACCCAGTCATGCTTCATTTTACATTCTCTTCCCCAGTTATTTCCTCTGAGTTTGGCCTTGTAGTTATGAAAATATGATCATCTCTGCCATGGTTCCTGGAAGAGTGTAACAATCTCTTCCCCAATGGTCCTACATACCATCCCTGTAACTTCCAGAACCAAAGTGTTCCTCACTGGTTTCCACTCCACTTATGTGTGTTGTGTCCCCCTATTACAATATAAGCTATTTATGGGCTGACATCTTTTGCTGTTTTCTCACCATTTGAATTTTTCTCCATTTCTCCAATGAATATTCCTTGAGAGTGGAGATTGTCTGATTTTTTTTTTTGTCTCTGTATCCCCGCCTATTAGAACAGTGCTTGGCATATAGCAGGCACATGATAAAATGCTTGATTAATCAAGCAAAGTTTTGATTTTCCTTGGAAGGCAATAGGTCGCCAATAAATGACAGGAAGATTATACCAGAAATAGAACATAGGGCTTGTTAAATAGAGTCTTTCTCTCACAATTCAATCACTGAATCACAGTGTCTAGCACATACAAAGTACGCATGTAAGAAATGCTAATTGATGTGCCAGGTGCTAGGGATACAAAGACAAAAGAGAAATAGCCTGCTGCCCTCAAGAAATTTATAATTCTACTATGGATGGCAGGGTAACATGTACACATGGTACTAGCAAAATTAGGAAACGTGAAGGGAAAGGGTAGGCAACAACAGCTGGGGGGAGGGGGGAGGGTCATGCAGACAACGGTACTTGAAGTGAGCGATGAAGACAACTCCAGATTCTAAGAAGCAGTGGTAAGGAAGGAGTATAAAATTATAGAAACAGGAAATGAAGTTTATGTCTGAATCAGTTTGGCTGGACTGTAGTGTGTGTGAAGGGGAGTCATGAATAATAAGGTTGAAAAAGTAGACTGGGGCCAAGTTTGAAAAGTTTTGCAGAAACACACTAAAAACCTCCTTTTTCATTCAAAAATCAAAATACTTCTTTAGCCCAAAAATCCTTTCCAGACTTAGGAAAATATGTAGGGCAAGAACAAAATTGGATTAAGAGTAGAAACAAAAAAAAAGTACTTCTTGTCTAGTTGAGATCACTGTTCCCCATCCCCTGAAATGAAGAGTACTAGGGCCAATCTAAGCAGTAAACTATCTCCTTCCTTCCTGAAGGGATGAGGATATTGATTAGAGGAAAGAGGTCCCTTTGTTTACTACAGATCACCAATGACCAGCCTAGGAGTCAGGAGGGGGAGGGGATGGAAATGCCCTTAAGGAAAGCAGACAAAGGATGAGTGGTTCTGTTTCTCAAGAAGAGTTTCTAAAAAATCAAGTGACTAACTGTTGTAGAATACTGACCCTAAAAATACTTTTTATCATATTGTGATATCTTCTTGCGTCGTTCAAGATTCCTAAATTACTTCAAGTTGTCTTGGAGGAGAGAGATGTTCGAAGACGTGGAGGAGAGTCACGGTCAATTGAGGTATTTCTCTCTGTCAGTTGGGAAAATATTTCTCTCTCTAAGCAAGATATGTTAGGATTTTTGAATAATGTTAAATGAATAAAAACTGTTTCCAGTAGACTTGTGCCTAAAATAAAGTATTAATATTTTTCACCAACTTTAAGTACCAAGCAGAATTGATATTTGATTTCATACATTATCATCAACCAAAACAAATATCTGTTTTGAACTTGTACTGGCAGAAAGTAACATCAGAAAAAGCAGTTTTTATAAAAATGCTTAGGTTTGGAGATATTTCCTTTGAGATGGCAATGAGTCATCTAGATAGTAACTATAATCCAGGTAAGAAATTTGTATAAGTTGCATTTGGGAGCAATAGGAAGTGACTGATGATTCTTTAAGTAAATGAGATTGATAAGGGAAAAAAGATACAAGAAACTGTAGAGAGAACCATGACATGATGGGTTGGGACAAAGACAATCAATCAGTCACAAAAAGAGAGGTAGAATACCAGGAGAGTATATCTATAATATCAAGGGAAGGATTATCAACCAATAAATCAACCAATCAAAAAATATTCATTAGTTGCCTACTATGTTCAAATCACTGTGGTAGGCCCAGGAGAAACAAAGTCAAAAAACCAAAATATTCTCTGCCCTCAGGTCAGGCCTGAAGAGACTTAATAGCTGTGTGATCTTGGGCAAGTCACTTAACCCATTTGACTAAGTTTCCTCAACTGTAAAACGGGGATAATAATAGCACCTACCTCAGGGTTATAAAACGCTTAGCACAAGGCCTGGCAGATACAAGGAGCTAAATAAATACTTGTGGCCTCCCAACCCTACCCCCCAACTTAAATACAGTGGCAGAGAATAAAAATCAGATTACCAGTGAGAAAGTACATAGCCTACTTTTTCAAAAAGTTGCATTACAAGAGATATAAAAAAGATGGGACAACAGGTTAAAGTTCAACGTTTTTTAGAATTACCAAGGCCTGATGTTTTTAGGTGGATAAGAAGGAAGTAGAAGGGGCAGGAGGTGGGAGGAGTCTCTCTGAACTTAGCCAGGCGGTGCTCTTCGGAAAACAGACATAGTACATTGCCTGGCCCTTGCAATTAGGAGTATGATGAACTCTCTTCAAAGCAACTCTTGGAAAGGAGCTGCAAAACTAAGTTTTATTTGCTGTTCTCTAATCCCCTGCCCTACTAAAGGGCAGCACCCCAGACTCATGTCTGGGCTCCTTAAAATCTGTGAAGTGAGGGTAGCAAGGTGGAAGTGGATAGTGCACCAGCCCTGAAGTAAGGGGGACCTGAGCTCAAATTCCGCCTCGGACACTTGACACCAGCTGCGTGACCCTGGGCAGGTCACTTAACACGACTGCTTCACCCCCCAAAAAAAGGGAAAAAAAAAACTGTGGAGTGGCGCCCCAGGGTTCCTTCCTTCCCCCTTTCAATGCCGGATTGGTTCAAGGGCTGCTCCGGAGCCCTGGCCTTCGCTTCGGGTGAGGGGCTGGCTCAGCCATTTACTTTGTGAGAGTCACCTCCTCTTTCCGGGTCCAGTTTACCGGGGGGCCCGGCCCCGGGCTTCGCCTCACCTTGTAGTCCTCCGCGGCGTCCTCCACGGTGGACACCCGGTGGGCCCAGTGGTCCCGGGAGCGCTCGCACACTAGGCACAGCAGCGCCTGGTCCTCCTCGCAGAAGAGCTTCAGCGGCTCCCGGTGCTTCCCGCACAAGCCCTGGGGTACGGGCGACGGCGGGTGCAGCTGCCGGGCCATCTCGGCCATCTTGGCCAGCGGTCTGTTGGGCCGCAGGTTCCTCTGCGGGGACATCTCTCTGCACTCCGGGCACGGGAACGGGCCCTCGGCCTGTCCCCAGCAACGGCTGATGCACTCCCGGCAGAAGTTGTGGCCGCAGTCGGTCATCACCGGATCCGTGAAGTAGTCCAGGCAGATGGCGCAGGTGGCTTCCTCCTGGAGGTTCGCGGACAGATCGGGAGCCGCCATGGTTGCTGCCCAGGGAGGGAGGCTTTGATAACCCGGGAAAAGCAGGGTTGAGAGTCCCCAGCCTCCCTAAAGCGACCGTCGGGGTGAGCGCTGGAAGCGGCACATCCCAGCGCCCGCCCCTGGCATGGACGCCAAGCGAGCCCCGAGAGAAACGCGCAGGACGAGCCGCCGGCTGCGGGAAGGCGCGACGGGTCCAAGGTCCCCGCACTTGGGTAACTTCGGCCCGGTGACAGCCGGGGGGGGGGCGTGGGGGATGTGGGTCTGCCAGGCACTTCGACCACCGGATTGGATGGCCAGCCCTCAACTGCTGAGTAGCTATTCCCGGAGCCCCGAGTCCGCTACCATCCGAAGCAAGGAGCCGGGCACGCGAAAGTGCCGGGGACGGGAGCCCAAGCGGCCGCGGAAAGAAGCGGGACAGGAAGCGGGGCAGGAGGCGGAAGCAGGAAGGAGAGAGACTTGTTTGGAACAACCCGCTTCTTTCTGGATTGGCCGGTTCCTGTCACGTGATCTCGGCGCGCGGAGGGGCATCTCGGATTGGAAAACGTTCTTTAGGCGACTTCGGTGTCGTCATCTGGGAACGTCTGAGATGAAGGTTTGGGGTCTTCGCGTGGGGCGGTTTGAGACGATAGGCCGCTTCTCCAATAGCTTTAGAGGCCGTGAAAGTAATCTTCTTGACCTTTCTTCAACCTTGATCACTGTACTTTGATAACTCTGGAAAAGAGAATGAGGCTGACTCTTAAGAGTCAAAGAGACTCTTAAGAGGCAGCTAGATAGTGCATTGGATAGAGTGCTGTACCTGAAATTAGGGAGACCTGAACCCTTTTTGGGGCTGCTTATCCACCTTAGGTGTCCTCCTGTCACTCAGTTCTCACCTGTGGCTCCAAGAAGCTGCAGCATGCAAGCAGCCACCTTCCAGTAAACCATTTCAGCAGATGGCCTAAAGCAGGTTGAGGGTAACCAACAGGTCTTGAACCCCCTTGGTGAGTTAGGGAGACATCTACCCCAAGCATGTGAAGACTTCCTCTGGCAGAATGGGTGGATGCAAACAATTTCTTCCAAAGGCCCTGAAGGTGGCTGAAACTTAGAGCCTGGTTAGACAATGGAAGATGCGTTTGACGCCATCACTAGTTGTTGTGACTTTTATCCTGCCACTGTACTTTGGTAACTCTGGAAAACTCTGGAAAACAGAATGAGGCTGACAACTCACCCTTACTTATATCCAAGTCAAGAGGAGTATCACCCTGTGATATCATTAGTCTACTTCAGAAAATGAAGAATGTCACATATTAGGCGCTTAAAAAGGCTTATTCCCTTCCTTTCCTCTTTCTTCTCTACTCAGTCTTGTTCTTGGTGATTTCAGTAACACTCTTAGATGTGCAGCAAGAGAATTTCTAGCTCAGGCTTCTTGCCTCCATTGTGCTAAGAAAAACATTGCCTCAGACTGTATCTTGAACTTCCTGATACCATTTTGGCGATGTCTCCTGCTGAAGTTTGCAAAAATCAAGCTTAAGAAGTAAAATACAGCTCGTTTTGACCAACTGGTTCCCTGATCTTCCTGATACAGAAATGAATATCTTTCCCTTCTGTTGTCTGTTTCCTGATTTGTAAACCCTTATCTTCCCCTTCTGCTCTCACTAAAATTCTATTGGACTCATCTTGCTTATGTAATCACATTCTGTATAAGGTTGCTGAATATAAGGTTGCTCAGGGTTGGATTGAGTAATTGGTAAGAGTTCAATGCAGCCTGTGCTCTTATCTCTGAGTAGTTGATGATTGGCAGCAGTACTTAGTCAGCAGTAATTTTGTCACAGATTCTCTGATAAATTTTGATCATAGACTCAGCTATTATTTCTATGCAGATGACTCCCAAATCCTCCAGCCCTCCTTTCTTCAGCTTTTGTTCTGTATTGCCAACTGTCTCCTGGACAGCTCCACCTGGATGTCCCATAGATTTCTCAAACTTAATGTGTACTCAACTCATTATCCTTCATCCCAAACTCTCCAATTCATCCTTTACACAGCTACCAAAGTAATAATATTAAAGCACCAACCTGACCCTGTCTCTTCTCTCCTCCGCTCAAGAAACTTAAGTAGTTCTCCATTACCTTTAAGTTAAACTAGAAGTCCCCTGATTGGCATTTAGAATCCTATCCTATCTGGCCCCTGGCTACTTTTCCATATTTATCATATGTTGCTACATCTCTTGTTCTCTGTGGTCCAGTGAAATTTGCCTGCTTGATATCCCCCATTTGTTGTTCAGTCATTTCAGTTGTGTCTGATTCTTTGTGACTCCATTTAGGGTATTTTTTTTTTTTAAAT